AGAGTAGAAGCTGCCAGCATTCCTTTGAGAAGATGGACACAGTGGGTCACCTTGGTTTATGAAAAGTTGTTCAAATGGTGTCTCTTAGTTAAGCAAATATAAGCAGATACCTATTGTTCCGGGAGAAGGATGTAATAGGGACTTATTTTCTTTTGTGGCTTAATAGCAACTGCTTCTCGCCTTGGTTTGCAGCGTGCAGAAGTTGGGTTGACTTGCATAAGAGGCTCAGGATTTTTCTGGGTAGGAAAGTACAGAAGCACAGGCTCCTTTTATGGAGTTTGGAAGTGAGAGGAACGTCACAAGTGTATCCTGGGGTAGCCAGGACCTCGGAATGATTGGCAGAAAATTACTCTAATGTGTTCAGAGTGGGAGTTACTGTGGGGGAAAAGCGTGTCTGGCTTTGTGACTTGGGCTTAACACAAACCCTAATCATGGTTGCAGGAGCCACCAGCATCAAGCTCTGGGCACATGACACAGCATATAGGTGTGATTAGAGGAGCTGAAACCTGCAAACTGGGTCGGGATCTGGGCCAAGGACATAACCACAGGGCAGACAAATATCCTAAGCTAGCAAAGGCAGAGCTTCAACAGCATGAGGCAACAAGAAGCAATGACAGTAATGACCACATTAGATTTTTAAGTTGTTATTTCATCTGACAAAAAGAAGTCCCTGGAATTCTTATATAATTTTGAGAGAACAGAAAGAGGGAAACATAATTCTAATAGGAACATACAGGACCTCCAAAGCGTGAACTGAAAAACAAAGTGTGACTATGTTTGTATCCCAAGCTAGTGAAGTAGGTCACACCAATTACAGGTTGAGAAACAAAGGAACTTTGTCACACAGGAGGCACCAAATGAGCAGAGGGATGGAGATGGAAATGAGTCTGCTGTGTGGTTTGTGGGGTACCCACAAAAGGGTCAAGTTGGCAGTGGTCAGATATGAGCTTGTGTGGGTAAATGAATGATATGGTTTGGCTGTGTCCCCACCCAAATCTCATCTTGAACTGTAGTTCCCATAATCCCAATGTGTCATAGGAGAGATCCAGTGGGAGGTAATTGAATCATGGGGGCAGTTACCCCCATGCTGTTCTTGTGATAGTGAGTGAGTTTTCATGAGATCTGATGGCTTTATAAGGGGTTTCCCCCTTTTTGCTCTGCACTTCTCCTTGCCGCTGCCATGTGAAGAAGGACGTGTTTGTTTCCTTTTCTGCCATGACTGTAAGTTTCCTGAGGCCCACCCCCTCCATAGCCTGGTAAAACTGTGAGTCAATTAAACTTCTTTTCTTTAAAAATCACCCAGTCTCGGGTATGTCTTTATAGAAGCGTGAGAACAGACTAATACAGTAAATTGGTACCAGGTAGTGGGATGCTACTGTTAAGATACCTGAAAATGTGAAAGTGACTTTGGAACTGTGTAACACGCAGAGGCTGAAACAGTTTGGAGGGCTCAGAAGAAGACAGGAAAATATGGGAAAGTTTGGAACTTCCTAGAGACTTGAAGGGACTCAGAAAACAAGAAGATGTGATAAAGTTTGGAACTTCTTAGAGATTCGTTGAATGGCTTTGACCAAAATGCTAATAGTGATATGGACACTAAACTCCAGGCTGAGGTGGTCTCAGATGGAGATGAAAAATTTGTTGGAAACTGGAGTAAAGGTCATTCTTGCTATGCAAAGAGACTGGTGGAATTTTGCCCCTGTCCTAAAGATCTTTGGGAACTTGAGAGAGATGACTTAGGGTTCTGGCAGAAGAAATTTCTAAGGAGCAAAGCATTCAAGAGGTGATAGAGCATAAAAGTGGAGAATTTGCAGCCCAATGATGCAGTAGAAAAGAAAAAACCCATTTTCTGGGGAGAAATTCAACCTGGCTATAGAAATTTTGCATAAATAATGAGGAGCCAAATGTTAATCACCAAGACAATGGAGAAAATATCTCTAGAGCATGTCAGAGATCCTCACGGCAGCCCCTCCCATCACAGGCCTGGAGGAAAAAATGGTTTCTTGGGCTGGACCCAGGGCCTTGCTGCTTTGTGCAGTCTTGGGACTTGGTGCCCTGTCCCAGTGTGGCTAAAAGGGGCCAACATACAGCTGAGACCATTGCTCCAGAGGGTGCAAACCCCAAGCCTTGGCATCTTCCACATTGTGTTGGGCCTGTGGGTGCACAGAAGTCAAGTATTGAGGTTTGGGAACCTCTGCCTAGATTTCAGAGGATGTATGGAAACACCTGGATGTCCAGGCAGAGGCGTGCTCCAGGGCTCGAGCCCTAATGGAGAACCTCTGCTAGGGCAGTGCAGAAGGGAAATGTGGAATCAGAGCACCCACACAGAGTCCCCACTGGGCACTGCCTGTTGAAGCTGTGAGAAGAGGACCACTGTCCTCCAGACCCCAGAATGGTATAGATCCACTAACAGCTTGCATTGTGTGCCCGGAAAAGCTGCAGACACTCAATGCCAGCCATGAAAGCAGCCGGGAGGTGGGGCTGTACCCTGCAAAGCCACAGGAGTGGAGCTGCCCAAGGCCATGGGAACCCACCTCTTGCATCTCATGTGATCTGGATGTGAGACAGGGAGTCAAAGGAGATCATTTTGGACTTTAGGATTTGATGGCCCCATTGGATTTTGGATTTGCATAGGGCTTGTAGCCCCTTCATTTTGGCCAATTTCTCCCATTTGGAATGGGTGTATTTACCCAATGCCTGTACCCCCATTGTATCTAGGAAGTAACTAACTTGCTTTTGATTTTGCAGACTTATAGGCAGAAGGGATTTGCCTTGTTTCAGATGAGTCTTTGGACTTAGACTTTTGAGTTAATGCTGGAATGACTTAAGAATTTATGGGACTGTTGGGAAGGCATAATTGTGTTTTGAAATGTGAGGATATGAGATTTGGGAGAGGCCAGGGAAGGACTGATATGGTTTGGGTGTGTCCCCACTCAAATCTCATCTTGAACTGTAGTTCCCATAATCCCCACATGTGGTGGGAGGGACCTGGTGGGAGGTAGTTGAATCATGGGGGCAGTTACCTCCATGCTGTTCTCATGATAGTGAGTGAGTTCTCATGAGAGTTGATGGTTTTATAAGGGGTTTTCCCCCACTTCGCTCTGCACTTCTCCTTGTTGCAGTCATGTGGAGGAGGACGTGTTTGCTTCCTTTTCCATCATGGTTGTAAGTTTCCTGAGGCCCACCCCCTACCCAACCCTGCAGAACTGTGAGTCAATTAAACCCCTTTCCTTTATAAATTACCCAGTTGGTGGCAGACCAGAAATGTGGGCATTATTATGGCTTTTGGAGCATGTAAGCCCAAGCAGTAATTCTTTTTTTTTTTTTTTTTTTGGGAGACGGAGTCTCGCTCTGTCCCCCAGGCTGGAGTGCAGTGGTGCAATCTCGGCTCACTGCAAGCTCCGCCTCCCGGGTTCACGCCATTCTCCTGCCTCAGCCTCCTGAGTAGCTGGGACTACAGGTGCCCGCCGCCGCGGCCGGCCAACTTTTTGTATTTTTAGTAGAGACGGGGTTTCACCATGGTCTCGATCTCCTGACCTTGTGATCCGCCTGCCTCGGCCTCCCAAAGTGCTGGGATTACAGTTGTGAGCCACCGCGCCCGGCCCAAGCAATTCTGATGATGCCTTGAAGAATGAGTGGCAGGGGTAGGGGTCTGGAGGCAGGGAGGCCAGCTGAAAGATTGGGTCCAGGGGATGGCTGCCTGATGCCTCGAGGGCATGGATTGAGTTTTCATCATCCCCAGTCCCCAGTGGAGTGTCTGATGCATAGTAAGTGCTCATGAAAGACTTGTTGAATTGAATTACAAGAATGCTGTCACCTAGTGGGAAGCAATCTCTAGGTGCGAAATGGAGCTCCTGGTTTCAGAAACTGGGATACCCGGATTCCAAGTTCTGGCCTTTCTTGTCTATGTGATGTGCAACTTATTTCACCTTGTTGGAATTTCAGTTTCTTTAGGTATGAATATCATTCAGCCATTCATTCACCAAGCACTTGCTGATCATAACCAAGAACCACATATTGTGCTAAATTTGGGAGAGTCAAAGAGGAACAATATGATATCCCTGTCTTTGAAGACTTTGTGATTTAGTTGGAGAGATGTATGTACAAGAAAATCATTTATGGCCGGGTGCGGTGGCTGAAGCCTGTAATCCCAACACTTTGGGAGGCTGAGACGGGCGGATCACGAGGTCAGGAGATCGAGATCATCCTGGCTAACACGGTGAAACCCCGTCTCTACTAAAAAAAATACAAAAAAGTAGACGGGCGAGGTGGCGGGCGCCTGTAGACCCAGCTACTCGGGAGGCTGAGGCAGGAGAGTGGCGTAAACCCGGGAGGCGGAGCTTGCAGTGAGCTGAGATCTGGTCACTGCACTCCAGCCTGGGCCACTGAGCGAAACTCCGTCTCAAAAAAAAAAAAAAGAAAAGAAAATCATTTATTACTGCATAGAGTGTGTTTTCATTGAGGGATGCACAAAGTGCAATGGGATTGCAGAATGATCCCTAACATGTATTCAGCACTTACCATGTGTTAGGAACTGTTCAAAGTTCATGCAGGTATTTAATCCTCATAATAACCAATGAGGTAGTTATTTCTATGATCTCTATTTTCTGGAAAGGAAACTGAGGCACAGAGCTTAAATAACTTTCCCATATATCTACATTTGATAGATGGGAAAGGGGCAACTAGCAGAGAGACTGGTACATGTAAAAGCGCAAGAGTCTGAAATAACATTTTGTTTGCTAGAACAGTACATGAGACTAGAAAAGAGTACAGAACCAAAGCATAATGGGCTTTGAATGCTGTATTAGAAAATTTGGACTCTACCTAAGAAAGCTTTCCAGCATTTTTCAAAGTGTTTGGAGGAACCTGAGTTCTGAGAAACCTTAATATAGTTGTGTATTAGTCAGAGAAACAGACTACTGGCTCTGTTCTTCAGAGAACAGAAACAGAATCAATAAGTTATGTTTTTATGTACTAACTTGTTTACTCATCTTAAAGAATTATAGGTTGAAAAAGTCCAAGATTTGCAGTCTGCAAGTTAGAGACCCAGGAGAGCCAATGTCCAGTTGCAGTGTGAATTCAAAGGCCTGAGAACCGTGAGAGCTGATGGTATAAGTTCCAGTCCAAAAGCCAGCAGGCTTGAAACCCAAGAAGAGCTGATGTTTCGGTACAAGACTGAAGGTTAGAAAAGATCAATATCTCAGCTCCAGCAGTCAAGTGGGAAGAATCCCTTTTACTCAACCTTTTTGATCTATTCAGGCCTTTAATTGATTGGATGAGGCCCACCCATATTAGGGAGGGCAGTCTGCTTCACTCAGCCCACCACTTCAAACATCAACACTTCAAATATCAACCTCATCCAGAAATACTTTCACAGACACACCCAGAATAACATTTGACCAAATGTCTGGGCACCCTGTGGCCCAGTCAGGTTGGCACATAAAATTAACTACCACAAGGTGTTAGGTGTAAAAAGGTGTCTACAGTTGCAGTGAACAATGCTGGCTGCTTACCATTCTCCTCTTTGCCTTCCTAACGGAGCTCTAGTTTTGTTCAGGAGTCTGTTCCTCCTCCATGCAGCTTTATGGTTAGGGAAGCTGGCCCACCTCCAGCTTGAGAGGGATTGGTCAAAGGAAAAATTTCATTTGTTTTTTTGCTCAGTGATTGGTTCAGGAGTGGATGTGTGACCAGATTCTGGCCAATGAGACTTGAGTGTATACCAGGGAGCTTGTGGGAAACTTCTCTCCTAAGAGAGGCAACGTGAAGAAATGATCCTTCTTTTTCCTCTGTCAGGCCTGAGTGTGATGCTGTAACTGTCATCCTACTACCGGCCTGAAGATGAAGCTGACACTGAGGGTGCTAGAGTAGAAAAATGTGGACACAAATCTCCCAAGCTTGTCCTACGTCTCTGAACATCTGGTTTGTGAAGCGTGACAAACAGTCCTTATTGTTTATCCCAGTTTTGAGTCAGGGTTTCTGTCACTTGTAGCTGTATCCTACATGATATGATCATAAAATAAGATTGGAGGCTTGGCTTAAGCAAAAATAATGAGGCTTTTAAAATTCCAGGGTTTCTCACTCAGTGCACAGCATTTAGTATGCAGGTGTACTTTGCAAATATCCAAAGTTGGATATAACACACAGCATTTCCTAAACAGGTGTGACCCTGGAAACCTTTGTAGAGAAGAATCCACAGTACTGATGTCCCACAGAAATACTCCCATAGGCAATGGGAAGACTTGGGAATCCTCAAAGTAGGCGGATGATAACATTACATGCTCAATAAAATCCCACCTTCTCCTCTCTAGCTGTGTGAAGTATCATGTCTCTGATGATCATAAAATGTAAGGGAACTCAGAAGTACCTCCCCAGAAAAAGATTGCAAGCCCTTACTTACTAGACTGATTTCTTAGTCCCCTTCCAGTTCTCAAACGCTGCAGGGCTTGCATAATTTGGTACATTCACCTCCGAGCATTGAACAAAGTTTCCCTTCCTTTTCTTAGTTACTTGCCAACATCTGTGAATGAAGTTGGTGAGATATACATATATATATATATATATATATATATATATATATATATATATATATTTTCAACCAGTTATTTTCTGGATTGAATTATTTAAAATAACCCACTAAATGAATCCCTGTTCAGTAGGTCTTTGACTTAAATGCACTCAGGCACTGACTGCATTTTTTATTTCTCTGGCTTTTTTTTTTTTTTTCAGTCAAACAGCCCTAGGGAAATGGCTTGAGGCTACAAAGGGCAGTTTTTAGAATGTTTTCTCTGCAGTTAGTGACAGGGTAGACAAATAGCATAAAATAGAAGACTATACTCCATTCCAGATGGGAAACATTGCTTCTGTTGCTTTTCTTGATTTATGTTAAATTCATCATGGTTTCAAACTGAAACCACTTTGGCCCCTAAAAGCAACAGGGAAAAAAAAAAAAAAAAGAAGAGGAAAAAAAAGTGACACATCTCTATGTTAAATAATTGGATCCTTTAGAGATATAAACTGCAAATCTAGGCAGGTCAATTATCCTTTCTTCTTCTCCATACAATGAGAGTACTGGTAATTCTTTCCCAGGATGGCACCACAGTTGTGTGAACTAAGAGGACTTAGCAAACAGTAGAGCTCTTGTGTGATGAGGCGGATACACGGCTGCTGTTTTCTGTCCTCATGTTGTACTGCGGTAAAGTCACCTTTGAGAACAACCTTGGCTCCAGTATGAGGGTGACTTATTGTGAACTGGAAGCCATGAAAGAAACACTTTCTCTATCACAGTCTCTCCTTTGTTAGAAGAAAAACCCCATTCCTACCCCAAAGCCCAAACCTCAAAGATCTTCCTTAGGTCTCCCTTTAATTCTTTAGAGTCCCATGCTGTTCAGCTTGGGTCTCACATTGACCCAGGGTTGTGCAACTCAGAAGTCCCTCAATTCTTTAGCAGGTGACTGAGGCCAAACCAGTATGAGAGCTCCTTTGAAAAACCCAGCGAGGGCCAGGAAGGCCAGACAAGTGGACTTTCATTGCAGGGTAAGTATTGAATGTTTCTTCTGACCAGGTAATTATCGGTTATAGGACAAAGAGGAAGCCCGATTTATCAACAAAGTGAAATTAAAAATTAACATGCTCCTGTTTGCTCGATTGTAATCTTTGAATCAGTCAATATCTACAGGCTGTGCCAGTAACCTGATTTCAGGGCAGCCACAGAGTCTGCTCAGAGACCAGCCCAGTTAAACAGTTAAGGCTGAGATCAGTTGGGGAAGACTGGAAATTAAATATGTTTAGGCAATGAATACTCACAAAGTGCTTAGGGATTTCTCGCTGGGGGCTGGTATTGGTGGTGCAGGTGTGCTGGGTTTGAGAGGACGCAGAGTCCCAGTCTTTCTGGATGATGTTTACTCCAGCTATCCATCCCAATAAAGGCAGGGGCAGTAGGCAACACATTTTTCTTTTCTCTTCTCTTTTCTTCCATTTTCTCTTTCCCTGGCCTACCACAGCAGACAATATGGCAGGTGGAAGAGTGTGGGAGCTGGTTAGAATTAAGAGCGATGGACTTGTAAGAGATTGAGGTGCAACCAGTTAGAACCTGGGGATTTGTTGGCACTCCGTACCTTCATTTTTGGGGGCCGAAGTAGATATTTAATTATAATAAGTTTATTGAAAATATATCTGTGAGCATCGTTCCTAGCACATCATAGGTATTTAATAAATATCTGGAGAATGAAATAAAGATTGAATAATTGAACGAGGCTCACACAAGACTGGAAATCAGAGAACAGGAATATTAATTTACATTTAACTAATTATAAACAGTTGTTGACACCTATATGTATGTATTACTATCTCCTCTTTCTTGCCCTTGTTTACTTGTTTTCAACTTCACTTTCACTCTGTGGATGTATATAGAGTGCTCCTCAACAGGCGTGGGACACAGGGGAGTAGGAGGGAGTGGCAGGATATAATTTTGTCTGCTGGGGGACATTAATCAATGTCTTAAAGTATTTTTGGCTTTCACAACTGGGGGAGTGCTACTGGCATTTGGTAGGCAGAGGCCAGATATACTGCCAGTCATCCTACAACAGAGAATTATCTGGTTCAAAATGTCAACAGTGCAAGACTGGGAAACACTGACTAGTACAGGAACATGTCACCAAACTGTTAATGACGATTACTTATGGGGAAGCCTGTAGAATAGCATTTTGGAAAACTTTACACTTACTAAGTTTAATCGTTTATACCTATTTGGGGGATTTTTTTAAAACAACATGAGGGTGTCACATTTGTAATCAGAATCAATGAGAGAGGCATTGAAATATTTACTGGACATTTAGTATATCTCAGGTGTGATCTAGATCCTGGGGATACAGCAGTGAGTAAGTAGTAGATGCTGCACTAAGGGACCCAGTTCAACAGGAAAGATCAGACAAGTACTCAGCAAGACAGGAAGTGCCCAGGGCCTGCTGAAATAGTACTTTTTTTTTTTTTTTTTTTTTTAATTACGAAGAAAAAGTGCTTGGTGTTCCCAGGTGTAGTTACTGAGCAGCATGGTTCCAAAGGACAGCTAAAGCACTTCCTGCCTTAGAAGGAGGGGAGGCTTTGCCAGGCCTAGGAAACCCGCATCTGGATCTGGCCTCCAGGGTAGCCTCCTGTCTGCCTCTCTGGTCAGGCTCAGCTTCTCCAGTTCCCCTCGCCCTGAGGGTGCAGGGGGCAGGGTCCCACGGGAGCATCGGTGTGAGAGGGAGCTCCCAGCACTGAGGGAGAAGCAGGACCCACTGACCGAACCCTGTGTTTGTGCTGGAAGGGCCTTAGGAACATCACTGCAAACACGCTCATCTTATGGAAGAGGAAAGGAGGTTCAGAGAGGGAAAGACTTGCCTGAGGTCACACAGTGAGTTAATGTCAGGGTGGGGCTGGCATGCAGGTTGCTGATGCCTCAGCTTGGGGGTCTGCTGCTGTTCTAGGACACCCCTTGCTTCTTACTGGGCTGACCAATTTCCTGCCTTCCCTTCCTTACCACAACAGCCTCCAAGCATGTCTGCCTGGCCCCGAGCTTGGTCTGTGTTCCCAGGTGATAGTTTTTACCCCTGAGGGTCTGAGTCGGGGGTGGGGATGTGACAAGAGCAGCCCACTCAGAAGCACAGCCTGGGCCAAGTGCACTATCTTAACCCTCCTCTGGGAGTCAAGCCAGTGTGGTCTGGAAGGCGGGGTGCGAGGGGTAACCACACGGCAGTAACCTCAAGTTTTGCAGGTTAGGGCTAGGGGTGGAGGCAGTGCCAGTATCAATAGCCTTGGGGATGATGTGGTGTGGGATGCGGTGGGGTGTGTGCACATGTATACAATGTGTCTTTGTTAGCATAAGTAGATGTGCTTATGTGCTTGGCTATTAGGAAGAGTTAGACCCATATGTACCGAGCTGAAGGAGTGCCCCAGATATAGTGTTAAAGAAGCAAATTGCTGAAAAACAAATTTAGTAATAATCCTATTTTTAGATCTAACATTTTTTGATGAATGTTTATATATGTTTGCATCAGTACAGAGAAAGATACAGAAGGATATGCTGCAAACTGCTAACACTGATTACGTTAAGACAGGGCCCCCAACCCCTGGACCGTGGACCAGTACTGGTCCTGGCCTGTTAGAAACTGGACCACACAGCAGGAGGTAAGCAGCAGGCCAGTGAGTGTTACTGCCTGAGCCCCGCCTCCTGTCCAATCAGCAGCAGCATTAGATTCTCACAGGAGTGTGAACCCTATTGTGAACTGCACATGCAGTTGAATAAAAAAGAAAGTGTGTAATTATGTGTGCACATGACTATGTTGATGTGTGTACACACGTCCATACGTGACTTTGTGTTTATGTGTGTTGCATATTTGTATGTACGGGGGAGGGAGTCTCAAAAGAGAGCAGAACTTTTGGCACAAATTCCAGACAGTGGTCACATCATCCAACCTTTGCGCTTTGGAAAGAAACCTCAAGGGTGTACACCTACTTGAAAGTTTTGACATAAAGATCACCTGCCTTGCAGATGTGGGCTGCTCTGGGGCTCCTGGCTTAACCAAATGGCCTTGGATAAATTACAAGTGAGAGAGGCTGCTTCCTTGCAGCCAAGACCACTGGTGGTTTAGAGCCTTCTCCAGGAAAATCTGCAGCCCCTTGCACAGTGTTCGTGCAGTGCTTCCAGTGTGTGGAGCGCTGTGTGCAGTAGGAAATGGTTCTTCTGGGAAGCCAGCTGCACAAAGGATGGGGCTTAGAAATCTCAGCCTGGGCTGGGCGCAGTGGCTCACACCTGTAATCCCAGCACTTTGGGCGGCTGAGGCGGGCAGATCATGAGGCCAGGAGTTTGAGACCAGCCTGGCCAATATAGTGAAACCCCATTTCTACTAAAAATACGGAAAATTAGCTGGGCGTGGTGGTGGGCGCCTGTAATCCCAGCTACTTGGGAGGCTGAGGCACAAGAATCACTTGAACCCTGGAGGTGGAGGTTGCAGTGAGCCGAGATTGTGCCGTCGCACTCCAGCCCAGGCGACAGTTCAAGACTCTGTCTCAAAAACAAACAAACAAACAAACAAACAAACAAAAAAAGAAATCTCAGCCTGTGCTGGTCAGTTACATTCTACAGGCAGAACCAGCTTCCTCCCCCTGCCCCATTATTCCTGAGATCTAGATTTTTTTCAGGTACCAGGATTTATTAATTTACTTGACCATGGCTCAGCCAACTGGTTAAGACTGGTTTCTGTGCTGATCTAGGCTTTCTAATTCCCATTTACAGCTGCAAGAACCCATTGAGACCAATGTGGGGGGCGGTTAGAATGACTTTTTCCTAATGTCACGTGAGTTCCTGTGTGTGTGGATGTGTGTGCACACACATGCACACACATGTGAGAAGAGACAGCCCTGCTCCCTTGAGGAGACACAGGAGGGTGGACAGAGGGTTGTGCGCCCTGTACCTGGCCACAGGCCTGAGCATACATGCTTGCTTAGCAATAGAAGTTGATTATGCTAGCAGGCTGATGCTCTTCCTGCTCTAAATGTCACTTCGTCCCCTCTCTCCACAAGCTGGTTAGCAGCAGCTTGGGGGTTTGGAGGGCAAGAGGAGCTCCCTATGTGCTCTGAACCCTTCTTTTTGGACAGGTTTCTGGGGACGCAGCGGGAGCCAGGCTGGTGGGAGCAGCAGGCCGAAGTGTTTTAGAATCTTCCAGAACCCAGCAAAAGGGTGGATCTGTCCTCCAAGCATTGGGGTGGGGTTGGGGGGGCAGTGGGAAGAAACTGTGGCTGCTTTTCCTGCAGAAGCCAGAAAGTTCGAATAGGAGGAGGAGGGGTAGAAGGAGAGAGGGAAAGAGAAAGTGGGGGGTCAGACGCTAGGGAAGGAGAAGGAAAAATGGGGAGGAGAAACAGATACTCCTTTATGGAGATTTCCAAAAGGCCTGGGAGGGACCTTGCCAAGCCACTTCCTAACCATCTTGGGGTGTCAGTGTGAGGCTTAATGGGAACGAGGAGCATGTGTATATGTCCTCAGCCTGCACAAGGGGAAATTCTGGTCTCTGAGGAAGAAAGCCCTGGAGCCAAGCCTCTTGGCCTCTGTGTCCACTCTCTGCATTTACTCTTGGGGCTCTGCTGTTCCTACCTTCATTTATGTTTCCCCAATCTGTCCATCTTTGTTCTCGCTGACTCTCCTCTCTCGCCTCCAACCACTTTGAAACTCAGGCTTCTGTTTCAGGGATGGGGGCCCCTGGAGATTCTCCTTGTCTCTAGCTCCCCCTGCCCACCTCAGCGGGACCAAGGCCACACTACTACCCAAGAGCCTGCGTCAGCTGCCAGTAGATGGCAGGCCTCATCAAATTCAAACTCCTCACTCTGCCCTTCATCTGTTCTCAAGATCTTCTCTCCCTGGTCTTGTCCTATTCTCTGACCAGGCTTCCCTCTGAGTCTCCCTGGTGAGCCCTGAACATTCAGAGTTCATTCTCCCTGGTGAGCCCTGAACATTCAGAGTTCATCTCTGCCTCTCTGCCTTGCTTTGCCGCCCAGGACAG